TCCTCTGATGCGAAATCTCTTCTGCGTATTTTGTCCAGAAATCTCATTACGCATCTCAGGGCTCTCGTGAACTTTTCCCATTTGCTAAAGCGACATACATTTGGGATTATGCTACTCAGCTTTGATGGCGATTTCGGCGTATCTGTCCATTCGTGTACGTGTACCGTTCCAGATTACTCGAGTTGAGCTGTAGTTGGCCAGTATTCTTCCTCGTCAAATAGGAACGGCGGACCGGAGAACCATCTGGCTTCCGGTTGGAAACTCGATTCTTTGGTCCACTTCGTTCCATCATCTGCTACGTTCAGGGCGGATGGAACCCATTTCCATTCTGATATGTCCGAGGTTTCCAAGATCTGTCCAATTCGGAGCGCATCGAACTGATGGTACTTTCGGGCGTCTGAACATGTCCAATACAACACGTTCTTGGAGTCGATCCAAAAAACACGTCGCTTGACCTCGACGGAGAGCTCCTGTGTTATGAGTTTAGCTAGTCGTAGGCCGAGGATCGCTGCCATAATCTCCATCCTGGGAATCGAAATTGGTTTCAATGGTGCCACTCTTGTCTTGGATGCGAGTAGTGTGCATCTGACTTCTCCTCTTTGTTCGATCCTTATGTAGGCGACGGCTGCAAAGGCGTTTATGCTCGCGTCTGTAAAGATGTGTAATTGGATATTAGATGTTTCTTTCGTTAGACCGAGATATCGTGGAACCCTTAATTCTTCGATGTTCTGTAGTTGCCGTGCCCATATCGTCCAACGTTGACGTTCGCTTTCTTCGACCTGTTCATCCCAGCCTACGGCCGACCTCCACACGTCCTGCAGTATTATCTTTGCCTGTATAATATAGAACCCCAATAGTCCTAAGGGATCGAAGATGGTCATGACTGTACGTAGAATTGACCGCTTCGTCACAGTTTTCGTTTCGTCGTATATGTCATTCGGAAACTTATTGACGAAGGTGAAGTAATCATTCCTTGGATGCCACCACATGCCAAGCACTCGTTCTCGTCTTGTCGAGTCCGTCATCTCGATGGGTCGTTCTTGATGATCTCCATCTCCTGAGAGCGCTCTCATCACGGTGCTCGAGTTAGATATCCATCCTCTCATCTCGAAGCCTCCTTCTTTGTGTATGTTCCTCACTGCCAGCGCTAGACGGACCATTTCGTCTTCTGAGTCACAGCTTTGGAGCCAGTCATCTACAAAGGTGTTGCGAAGTATGGCCTCTACTTCCTCTCTTTGTTCCTCGATGAACCTTTCTGCGTTCCTATCTCTCACGTAGGTCGCTGCTGCTGGGGAACAAGAAGCACCAAAGGTCATTACGCTCATTACGTACCTATCCGGTTCTCGACTGGTGTCACCATATCTCCAGAGAAACTGCTGTGAGCTTTGATCCTCCGAACGTATCCTAACCTGGTGAAACATTTCTCTGATATCTCCGCAGATGCCAATAGACTTCTCTCGAAGGCGCGATATTACTCCTACCAGCGATGGCAATTGGTCGGGGCCCTTTAGAAGCATTGAATTAAGAGCGATGCCTTCCACTTTGGCTGCTGCATCCCATACGAGTCTTGGTTTGCCTTTGTTCGGGTTCTTGGTCACGAATACGGGCAGATACCAGGAGCGTTTGCCTTCGACCATTTCATCTTTTTTGAGTTTTCGGACGTAGCCGATGTCTTCGCACTTCTTAATCTGTTCGTTTACGAACTCTCGTAGCACCTTATCGCGTGTCATACGAGATTCTAGGCACCGGAGTCGTCGCATTGCCATCTCTCTGGAAGAAGGAAGTTCCACGTTGTCGTACCGCCAGAGAAGTCCTGTCTCCCATCTCTTCATTTCGCTGCTAAACCTCGTGGAATTTTCCAGTATTGTTTTTGCTCTTTCGTCCTCTTTGGACCTGAGTGTGCTCTTCGCCATGTTTATGCCAACCGCGTCTAATGAGAAACTCTCTTTTACAAGAGTGTCCAGCTGTGGGTGTTTATTACATTCGCATACGTGCATTACCCGCGGACTCGCCGGCCCGTCGCCCTTTCTGCGACCATAAACAGACCACCCCAACCTGGACTTGGCGGCGATAAATTCGGAATTCTCGCGTTCTTTGACGGTCAGTGGCACTCCAAGTTTCACGTTGTCCAATCCGATGATCAATGACGCTCTCACGTCCTTGTAGCTGAGTATCGGTAGCTTTTCCAGGTGCGAATGGGATTTTAGGATTGAGTCGTCCAGCGTCTGCTTCGGCAGATCCAGGTTTTTTACTGTTCTCACGTTTTGAAGCGTGAATCTGCGAGCCACATTGTCCCTTGGAGAGATCGCTAGGCTTATCCATTTGGATTGAGATTCTCTCTGCGTGATGTCTCCAGTCCAGCGTAGGCATAGCTCGTCCGAGGGGCCATCGATACCTAGTTTTTCCGTTATCTCCGTCTCGATTAGGGTACAGGCGGATCCTTCGTCTATCAGTGCGAACACTTGCATTTGGCCGTTCGGTCCATACAATGTTAAGGGGACGTATCTAAACAACGCAGCTTCGTTCTGCATCGTGTGCAGTACCGTAGTGCTTTCCTTCGGCCTATTCTCTACCGTAGAGCTTTGCTGGTTACTGTTGTGGAGGAGGAAATGGTGCTTTCTCGAGCATCCGTCGACGGAACATACTCTTGTTGACTTACAGTGCCTTATAAAGTGTTTGCCGAGGCACCTCCAGCATAGCTTATTTTCTCTGACGAAGTTCCATCTGCATGGCCCTTCTAGCTCCAGGAACTGCTTACAGTCCTCCAGTTTGTGGGCCCCATTGCACCTACGGCAGGGCGGTTGTGCGCTGCTATCATTGTGCACCATAAGCCGGATTCTTGGGTTCTTCTCCTTCGTGCAGACTCTTTCTCGGGTGCTACTGACATCACGGTGCTTGCGCACGATGCGACTCGAAATAGCCAATCATCGAAAAATCGATGCTGCTCGATTTCACGGACGGCTCCATTCTTAGCTTCGTCTGTAGGGTGTGATATATGGCCTCTGGTCGGCCATATAGCATTCGGAGAGCCTCGATGGCTAGTCGAACTGTTGCGGGCATCATTAATTTTCCTCGTACTGCTTCCAAAGCGGCGCCTTTCAGGCACTTTTGCAGCGTTCTGTAGATTGCTCGAAGTTTACTATGAACATGGGCCATTCCTCGGGGTTTCCAGAAAAGCATGGTAGATCCTTGTTGATGACTTGTCTTGCGGCTATCTGGGATGCTGTCAAGCATCTCTCCGCCCCCGCTGGCGCGACCGCTTGATTACTCCCGCACGCGTACGGGTCCGAAATATTTCGACTCGTACTTGGGTAATACTGTGCAGTCGGGGCGCGAATGAAGGGGTTTTCCCATGCAGGTTGGTACCCAGCGCCGGTGCGGCCATTGGATGCCACATAGCGCCGACTGGCATTGTCTCGTTCGGATTCAGCCCAGTAGGCATTCCAGTCCGCGTTGCTTCCGTGGGTCCTGACATGTGAACTCCGGTCCAGTTGGGAACTGCTCTGTCCCAGCCTCCGTTGATTACCGTGGAGCTCATGAGGCCTCCTGCTTGAGGCAGTCTGGAATGCGTCGGGATGGAGCGCATTCCCTCGAAGGCCGTGGCGTACGTCGGCCTTCCTAATGCATCCGCTCTCTGCTGAGCGAACGTTTCCCAGCTATCTAAAAGGCTCGTTCTTGGTGAAAAGGCTTGATCCACCCCTCCTCCTTGGTTGGTATGCTCTGGTGCTTGATGGCTCGTTGGGGCTGAGGTGGACACGTTAGGTGTGGCCGTTGTTGCCGCCGAGATCACATCTATATATGTATCCCTAACGCGATGAGTTTCCCTTGCACCTCCCTCAGTCTCAGAACACGCACCAAGCATCTTTTCCGGCACATTTATTTCTCCTAATCCACACGGGGTCTCGCCGCCAGATTCCGACTGCTGACCTTTGCCGCCGTCCATTTTATTCCGGTGTCTTTTTTGTACAGTCCTGGTTTGTGGTTATACACGAACCTCGTGTCGCTCGAATGTAAGAGATTAGCCTTTCTGTCCAACTGTATGAGGATATCTCACCTGCAAAGTCGAATCCCTCGTGACGCAGCTGACTGCGTCGCACGCCGATCTTCTTTCTGTCGGTCGTAATTATTCGACTTGCTCTCTGTTGAGCAGGAAAAGTTTTTTAGAATATTGCCGCGCGGGGCAACGCCTCCAAATCTGGGGCCGTACGTTTGATAAGCCTCCCGTGTTCAATAGGCCTCCCGTGGTTTTGTTCGTCAAATCGGTTTTATTCATTTGTTTGTTTCATTCATTTATTCATTTACAATGTCGGGCGGGTGTTAAACTACGGGGCTAGAGCTAAAAAACTTGTACCGCTTCAGTGCTTTTTCCGCTGCCTTTCTTTTTATTCTTCCTTTTCCTTGCCTTCTCCTTTTCTCGCCTATAGCTGCCGTTCGCCCTGATTAACCCTTTGCTCAGCGCTGTAAATGTTTGTGCTGTTAAGCGCAGTGATATTCAGGGCTGTTAGGCGCAGTGATATTTAGAGCTGCCTCTGCGGTTTCTGCCGTAACAATAGTGAAAACACGACCGAACGCAGTGAGAGCTGACCAATCTTACGGCCTGGGATATATAAAGCTTTCAAATGCAAAACGTAGAAGAACAAGATTACACTACTCAACACGACATTGACGCTGTGAACCAAGCCGACTTCTATCAAAAAAACGCGGGCTTAGTTCACAGCATCGAAAAAAAAATTATATTTTGCTGTGTATAATGTTAAAATAAGGATTTCTAATTACTTTTTAAATATTTTTAATTTATTTTAATTTGCATTTTTTAAATTATTTCGTACGAATGAAAAGTAACGCCAGAATGGAAATGCCATATTTGAAAAAGATTAAAAGTATATTTTGGTATTTTTTTTTTTGAGAGTCAAACAGTATATTTTAGCGATAGCTACGGGAAAGCGGGAAGAAACGCTTATACGTAACAAGTAATCGATTCTAGCTTCCGAATTAAAAACAAAAATTCGAGTTAAATGGCATTAATTCCACCTGTCACACGCCTTACATCCTCCATAATACGTATACTGGGCTGTAACCCCAGTCTTATGACGTTGCAAGGCACTAATACCTATCTTCTTGGAAACGGAAAAAAGTAAGAATGTGCTATGGTCCATCCAATGTTCAAATAATAAAAAAAACCTTCCAAAAAATCATCTATTAGACGGATACTGATTGATACAGGGGATGAGGATGTTCCTCAGTACATAGAACACTTAAACGATGTACTTCGCCGGGAACAAGCCTGCATTGCCACTATCATTCTGACTCACTGGCACCATGACCATGTCGGTGGTGTTAAGGATATTGTAGGCAGCAGACTGGCAGACAATGGTATGTAGTGCCTAAATATAAATAATTGTCACTTGCAGCTACTTATTAGTACTCTTTATTTCAGACTGTCAAGTATTTAAGTTTAGTCGGACCGATGCCAGTGATGTATGCCCAGAGATCCCAGCTCACATAAAATTGCAGCCGATGTCAAACAACCAAGAGTTTTCAGTAGAAGGAGCCAATATGCGTGTTGTACACACTCCAGGTCACACCACCGATCATATTGTACTAGCGATGGACGAAGGGACTCTTTTTAGTGGCGACTGCATTTTAGGTTAGTTTTCGACTTGGATTGTACTTGTTTCCATTAATATAACGTGGTCTTTTTGCTAGGCGAGGGTACTGCCGTTTTTGAGGATCTATACGAATACATGAAAACCTTGGATACAATATTAAAAATCGAACCACAACGCATCTTTCCGGGGCATGGCAATATTATCGAGGAGCCTCTTCCCAAGATTGAGTACTACATAAATCATCGCAACAATCGTGAACAGCAGATACTCCACTTTTTTACCCAACGACCCCATAAGCGTTGGCAATCAATGGATGTTGTGCGGGTGGTTTACAGTCAGACCCCTCAGAAGCTGTGGCCCGCTGCGGCCTACAACGTAAGTCACCATCTCAAAAAGTTGCAAAAGGAGGGAAAGCTGCTGCTCAATAAATTAGATGAAGAAACATTTTATGTTTACAATCCATTAAGTTTGTTCTAGAATCTAGATCTTAAGTCTATATCTAAAATATTCGAGCACTTTGTTTGTAACAATATTTTATTTTCGGAATAAAATTAAATTATAAGGGCTTTGACATTAGAGGGGGAACGTTATGAGTTGCTGCTGAGACCGCAGCTCTACATTTATACCCGGTACTTAGTATGGCTACATTGAGCGACAAAGAGTGCGTGCGGGAGAGACAGAAAACGTGTCGGGCGCTGCGTAGTCTACGAATATTGATTTGTTCCTATTGGCTATACAAATTATCCGATCTGATTCAGATTCGGCAATCTGGTAGATATGGTCATTTTCTATGATTGTGCATTCTTAATTTTCTTGTATCTTGTCAATTGTGGATGCCACAGATTTTCGTCCTTTGTGGAGGCGGGGCGAAGTTTTGAAATACACTTGTAACAGTGACATATCACAGAAGTCTGGATACAGTATGTCGTTGCTCTAGCTCTTATACTCTTTGAGCACTAGGCGCTCATAGACAATTTTTTTTTTCCGAATTCAATCACGCATACCCTCTTACTTTTTCCTTTTTCCATAAAGTATATGTGTTCTAAATATTATTTGAAAATTTTGTCATTAACCAATGCCGAATCACACTCAAAATTTTACATATGTGAAAGGTACACTTTTAACTAATGAACGCAGTTCTATCATTTTATTGGGAATATTTTCTTTTTAAAGTCTCCTTTTTATAATCCGGGTACATTTTTCTATGCTCCTGAACGCAACGCAACGAAAAATGTGTTTGTTCCTCATCCACTGTTAGACGGCCGTGAGAGTCTTTCATCAATTTCACAGCTCTTTCTGCTGTATCATTTACTGCCTTAAGTAATGAAAGACTCGTCTTGCTTTTTAAGTAAGATGGGTTACTGTTCCATGATGAAGGGCACAGACTCAAAAAACTGTCATCAATTTTAAGGCGATCAAATTATGTCCTGCTTTTTAAAGATATCAAAGATAAAGAAATCGTCCATGTTTGTCTAAAATGGAAAGAAAACAAAAAATTTCATATTTCAGTAAATACTTAAAGGTTTTAATATTACTTACCAAAAAGTGCACCGTTATGATTTTCCATCGATGGTACATATCGTTTTCCTAAGCTGGTTCTATTTTGTTAAGTCAAAATTTGTGACCATTCTTTCCTTTACATCAAAAGTAACGTCGTCATCAAAAAGTGAGAGAGCCGATATTTTATCATGTAGATACCATAAATGATGACAAAATTTCTTCAAAGCAGCTTTTGCTATAGCTTAATCGAAAGTTTCATATTCTTTCAAGGATTTTAAAAAGCATAAATCCTGATACGGTGCTTTCAAGATACTACGAACAATGACAGGTCGTATATAGCTGCAATTTCTTTTTGAGTGAGCTTGAGCTGAGAGCTTAAGATTTACATTTTTAAGGTGTAAATGGCTCGTGCCATCCAACGAGTTTGATGCATTCTGCCAGGATGTCTTGCTTTCTGTTCCCGTCCAATGTCGCCACCTAGGAATATTATGGAGAGTTCAATTAACTCCCGAAAGTCTAATAGCATAATTTTCTTTCAGTTTTGCTTGAAAAAACTCCAACCACACATTATATTTAGAACGGCTAAAGTGCGCTTCCACAGTTTGTAGACCAGATTGTATTTTTGAAAAGTCAACATTTTTACAAGTATCCTTAAGCTTTTTAAAAAGGGGAATATCTGGACTTCTTGCTATTTCCGCAACTTTTACTTCAAATACACTTTTCAGTACAAGCTCGTAGATGTGATGGCGATAGGCAAAATATAGCAAATCTCTATCAAATTTTTTCTCTAACAATAAGCACGTACCGTTAAACCGACCTGTGTTTGAATCTGTTGTATCAAAACAAAGAATTTGTACACAATCTTCAAGATTCCATTTGAGAACCGCATTCCAAACAGCATGTGCTTGCTCTTTAACTGTCGAACTTTGCAGATGTGGCACTGAAATGAGCTGTTCGGTATTTTCATATGCGATCACAATTGGAAGACGTTCCTCCTTACAGCTTCGAGCATCTAGAGCTGGTAAAAGCTTTCCATCCCAGTGCAGACTGACAACTTCTGGGATATTATTGTTGAAATCCTCTTTTATCACTATCGCGCGTTTCTTCCGACTTTCTGTACAAATTCGTTGAATGGTAGACTTGTTAATACTAAGCTCATCAAAATTGTAACCAAGTGCCTCTACAGTAGCTTTAAGAACGTAAGCTGAGTCCCTTACACTATGCTGGCACCTATCTAAGGCAGCCACGAGCTTCGGAGTGATTAAGTTTTTGCTACCACGTCTTTTTATGTTTTGAGGCTGACCACTTTCGGTTATCATGGAGTTATGAGAGCTTTCAGCTATATCTTCCAAGCTTGACAGTAAATCAAAAAGTCGTTCTCTCTCGTAGTGATCAGACGTGTTTTTGTTTTGCGCTCCGAATTTTTTCCTTTTGTTTTGAATAAAAGCCGGTGTTTTCATAACTAAATTCTAATTATACTTTGTAACAGATAACGAAGCAGGAGGCTAGGATCTGAAACGGTAGACGAGCAGATGGAGGGTATGATCGAGATCCATGCACGCGTTGCTGCCGGTCTCATGGTTAGTCGGGTAGAGTGGGGGTGGGGTAGGGAGAGATCGCGTCACGAGCTCGAGCATTAGGAGCAAAGACAATAAAAATAAGTTTCGCGTGCGGTTCAAGGTTCAGACGGAAGAAATTTACAGCGCAATGACAGTCTAGGGAGATGAGTCAGCGGAACGAATTCGAGCGGGAGTTGCTTGCGGTGTCATTGCAACTCGGTATGCCCACCCTTCCTTGATCGCACCAGTCCAAATATGCTGAGTAATGGGTAACGATCCCTAAATTAAACGCTCTACTTCGCTAGGTTACGTCATCTCTCGTCTCGTCAGCTCTCATGGCTGCTAACAGGGTAAATCTACATGTATAAAGGCTATTAAAGTAATAAGGATAATATGTTCAAATAAGCTGCAATTAAGATTAATTATATATATAAAAATATCATGATGAAAGATCTTATTAGACTAGGGTCAACTAATTATAAAGAGTATATTCAGTAATAATGGTAATTACGTTACACAAATAGAAATATAGTCGAATAGTTTTCAGTTTAAATGCAAAAACAAGGGACGGATGGATGCATCTTTAAAGTGCACAGCAATTGCTTGTGGGGTAATCCCAATCATAAGTTCGGTTGTCGATAGATTCGGAATTGCAGAAAGTTACATTGCTTGCGAAAGAGCAGAACAAAACAAACACGTGAACCATTGGATTGGTCAGCGTTACAGTACGGCTGGGAAGTTTACGGTCGAGGCATGGAATCTTTAATGTTGCTTCGACTTGCGTAAAATTTTGAATTCACATATAGCAGACGTTCACAGGTTATCACTCACAGTACGATCAAGTCCAACGATGAAAGCGCTTCCATGTGGTCGATGAGGGTGGCTGAAAACTTGTAAATATCAGTGTGTCAGAGTAGATAGGCGGTATGCGCGAGTATTAGTTTTAGTTCCTTTCCTTCTAACTGCACTTTTCTTTATGATAATCCAAACAAACCGAATCACACGAAATTCACTTTTAAGGTTAATCCTAGGGTCAGTACAATAGTGGGGTTCCAAAGTATTATTCTAATATGAAGAAATGCATGGGCACAGCCATCATGATCGAGACACCGACTGACTTCATCAGCAACGCAAACAGTATAACGGCACCGGTAATTGTCTTCTCCTTGAGCGTTACTGTTCGTATGCGGGCGGCGTAATCGACGTAGCAATGACGAAAGTCACTGAAGAGGGAATAGTCAATCTCACACATATGTACATATGTATGTCACTGCACTCGTAGATAAAAGCCCATCGACCGTTTTTCACTGGGGTAGGCCGAGCAAGGCTTGTATGTGTGTGGACCCACGCCGGTACACGCTGCGGTAAATACAGTGATGCTCACACGTATGCAGACGCCACGCCGAAAGAAGATTTGGGGTCGAAGACGGCTAACACATACAGTAGTCGATCGGTACGATGGATACTTATATGTGTGGCAAGGTGACGAGACTGTAGTGGGTACGGCTTACGGCACTACGACCGGCGTTTCGTACGGTATTACGTACGGCCAAACCTATGGTTAGGTTTTTAAGAAAAAAAACGAACTTTAATTTTCTGTTGGCCGGCAGTTGGGGTACAATTTCCACTCACCCGATGGGTTCGGCCTTCGCTTAATAAACGTAGGAATGGTCGGCTGATCTTTTGACTAGATCTTAGCCACGATGGACACGCGGTAATTTCGGTCGAGGTTAGAATTTTTTTTTCTTTCACTGCACTACTGGAGTATTTTCCTCAGACGTCCGTCTGGGATCGCGAGTAAAATTGAAAAGAACATGCCCAAGCCACTCTCTTTCCGCTTGAGCCCTTGGTTCTCTCATTCCCCTTATTTTTCACCACACCTTGACAGTAGCCGCTGTTAACTTATGTCATTTTTTTTTCTTGCGCATAACTGCCCAAAAGGTGCAAGGTGCATGTCTAAGGGAAGGGGAAACCGTGGGACGGTTATCCGATATTTTTGGTTGGACAGGCGCCACTGCAACACCCCCCTACCAAGATCACACTTGGCAGTGATACACTGAAAAGAGTGATCCACGCCTGAAACCTCATTGTTTTATATCTTTAGCATGGAATTTCCCTAGGAGTCGTCCATGTAGGTCCTCGAGTTCGTAGTAACTATTACCAAGTCTTTTTCTCACCCGGGCTTTCACGAAAGTAGGTGCCAGCTTGGCTTTAAAGCCTCTGCTAAAGTTACTTTGCTGGAAGTTTCTTTTATACACTTCCTGACCAACGACAAACGAGACGTCTCGACTACGCAAATTATATACTTTTTCGTTGCGACTATGCTGCTGTTGAGCTGAATGCATAGCTTTTTGCCGAATGATATTGAACGAATCGTCTCGCGAAAACTGTACTGTTCGATCCTCCAGCATTTCTAACTGTCTTAATAGCTGATAGCTAGAGCCATTGGTAACCATATGTTGACCTAACGCTATTCTGTACGGGGTTGAATTAATGGCGGTATGTGT